TATAACCTCCCCCCCGTATAAGTTTTTGAGCGCCACCTCTTGTTTTTGAGTGAGAGAGAGAGAGAGAGAGAGAGAGAGAGAGAGAGAGAGAGAGAGAGAGAGTGATACCGGTGTCCATTAATTCGGTGTTCGGAAGGAGAATGCCAGTGCATTTGCTTGAAGGAATACTGCTTGTTATCTACAATTATTGATCCTGTATGCTCAGGGTACTCTATCTGCATATATCATTAAAAAAAAAAAAAAAAAAAAAAATCGGAACTCAAATATTAAAATCTAATTAAAAAGGGGGAACTTATAGGGGTGTAAAAAAGCCGAGATCGGCTGTTTTGGCCCGCTCAAATCTATTTTGATGAGTTGGAGCTCTTCGAGTATTTGATTTTTGGCTCGACCCTCAGCCCCAGTCCATTTTGTATATTTTCTTATTTTGTTTTTTGTATTAATATTATTAGAATTTGATTATTATTATCATAAAAAAATTCGAAAAAAAAAAATGAATTGTATTTATTTTTTAATTATTTATATGAATTTATTATTTAATTTTATATTAATTCAAAAAATTAAAATGAAAAAAAAACTGCTAGCTCATGAACAACTAGGAATGAGCTCGGGCTCGACTCGTCAGAAAGCTAGAGCTCGAAAAATTCAAATTTGAGTTCAAGTTCGAACTTTTGTGAGCCAATCTCATTCCAAAGAAATAAAAGGCATAAAAATTGGAAATTTTTTGTATTTCAAAATCAAAATTCCGAAACTTCATTGTAATTCATTGTAATTACTAATTAACACCTCTGGTGGCAAGCTGGAAATAAGAAAGAAAGAACGAAAGAGAGAGAATTAATTACCCCAACAGTGAATTTGTAGTCGACCAAAGTAACATTATCGACAGTCGGACGATAATCTCTTACGAGTGGCTTCAACTCGTTGTTCGTTACAGCTTTCTCCGTAACAATGTCGACCGGCGACTGCGATTTCCCACTTGCACACAGCGAGAAGTTCGGGTTCAGCCCGGCCCATTTGTCCGGCCCGGTTGCCCCCGAGTATGTGAACTGCAGAGGTTTATCATCAGCAACCTCTTTATACACACACACACACAACAAATAAAAGTTAGTTAAAAACAGTTATTTTCCACTATACATATATATTTTCCACGATTAACATTCAATTATGTTAAAGATCGAGAATCAAGAAAAAGCGTACGTACTTAGTGTGGTAAAAGCGTACGAGCCCGCAATCAGCAGAGTAGCTGTGACGACAGTGAATAAATTAGCCAAAGTAGAAGCCATTTATATGAACTATATCTTCTTCTTCTTCTTCTTCTTCTTCTTCTTCTTCTCCAACACGACGACCACCAATATATATAGATCGATATATATTATCTTGTAATAATTTATATATATATGTAGGCCAAACAACAAGTTACAAGTTGGTTGTTAATTATGTCGATGGGGGTCCCTGCTTACAGCCCACCATCCACTACTTTCTTGGAACTTCTGGAGCACGCTTTTAACTTTTTCGGCGTGTCGTTTTGGTATTGATAACGAGTCAACTCATTTATCCAGCTTTGCTTTTTTCCTTCATTTCGTATGGTAGTTGTTTTCGTTTCATTTCGTTAAAGTTATCTTGTATTTCACATCACAGATATTTTTGTCAATGAATTATGAACATAATGCATCTGTGTGTAGAATATCTTGAAATGAAGACGCACGCGCTTATCTCATGATCTACCGACAGTACATAAACCTAATTTTGTTGTTTTCTTTTTGGTATGTATGTATATATGTTCTTCATTTATATGCAGATATGTTGAAATTATGTCGGAATTGTCGTACTTGATGGAATGATATGTTATATAATGGAGTAGGTGATATAGTACAAAGATTTTTTTTTTTTTGAAGTTTTGTTAAAGTAATCACTCTATTAATATTTAATACTTCAAACTAATTTGCATGTAAACTTTATGAGAATGATTAGTACTAATCTATATCATCCATAATAAATGGTAATTATGAAAAGGGACAAAATGAAGTACGTGTCTATATGAAATAATTATCTTTTAAAAAAAAAAAAAGCAATTAAAATTTGGCCTTGGTGATTTTCTATTCTTATTATATATCATGCTTCACATTTTTTATTATACTCGTAGAGATCCACGTGTCGTCCATTCATTGGCTGTGAAGGCCTTGAGTTGTTCGTGAATTTCGATTCCAGGGGAGCCCTTAGTGTCTCTACTTGTTCTCTGGAAATTGATCTCACCTGCGTATATTTATACGGGCATGACTATGTCGTAATTTTATACGTGGGGAAAAGTTATAAGGCAATGAAATACGATGTAATGTCGTAATTAATTAATAAATTGACCGACCTTGGTAAGGACATGCCAAATGACATTCTCGGTGCAGGAGAGAGTTGAAAGATCCCACGTATCTGTA